ATGTGCGGGGGAAAAGAGTTCGAGGCCAATCAACTTCGGATGAGCTGCACAACGGAACGGCAAGGCAACGGCTCAAAATAAGGCAAATGGCCAGAAGAAACGAGGGAACAAATAAGTCGTCAGTCCAAGACGTTCGAGTCCGTGTTGCCCCCTTGTTGGTAACCCTTCTCTCGTTTGGGGCTTCAGCTGAACCAGAGCTTCTTCACTCCCAAGTTTGCCAGGGACCTGCAGCTATTTTGGATCAAAATGATTTGCGGCGCTATTCCGGCCCCTCTGCGAACGGAGCCATTTGTCTGGCTCCTGGAGACGTGCCCGTCATCCGCCCGCTCATGCCAAGCTCCATCAAAATCCTCCACTGAGTACCGCCGAGCGGAGCTAACCGCAGGCACCATCCCCGCCGTTATGGACCACATGTGCGAGCTTTGTTCGTGACGGCCAGCCAGGGAGCCCCGGGGCAACCGCGTCGTGGGCTGCGTCTGCGTTGACTCCAGCGTCAGGGACTCAAGCTCGACTCGAGCTCCAGAGATCCAAGATGCTTAATTCTCTCCTCGGGTGCCCAAACTCTGCTTACCATGCCACGTTTCGACCTCGTTCCGGGAACCAGTCCCCGAGACCTTTGAATCACTTCACGGTCCAGATATGACTGCATGTCTGGGACTTTGTTATGGTCTGGTCTGGGGTTGCCGCATCATGCCGTTTTGTTGGAATGTACGTGGCCATCGACAGAGCCTCCGGGGTCCGCAACCAAAAGCGCGCGTTCGCGTTGCATCAGATGTCCAAAACTCGAGTCGAATGCGGAACTTCCCAGACAGGCTTCCTGACCATCACTGTATACCTTGCATGCATAGCGACTCGATGCAATTTGCGCGGTTGAGGCGGTTTGTAGACGATATAGGGTCGACGATCTATCCCCGTCTACTACGACTCAATGCCTGTCGATTTGCAGCTGTCAAAATCTTGTACGTGCTCAAATGAGGGGTTTCCGGGGTCCTGAACATTCCAGAACGATCCGATTCAGGGAAATTGCTCTGATGCCGGCGGCATCCATATCAACGGCCCCTGACATGATGCGGAGGTGGCTCATCGAACTGTAAAGACGAGACAGGGATCGCCCAGCTCGAATGTCAATCAGTCTTGGACGACAGTGGTGTCAAAAGCTTGGTATCATAGCGTTGCAAAGAAGTTGGGGTCTATTTTGAAACCAATATCGAGTCCCGGAGTCCCCGATGGGTGCTCTGAAGGTAATATCGCCAACGGGTTCACGGTTACCTACGGTTGATCGGGAGCGTTGTCAAGAGCGGCGCGCGCGGACCTCATCCGCCCTGCGAGGCAAAGCATTGACTTGATGGTTTACTCGACAAGTACGGAGTATAGTACGGAGTCCTGGCCGCTGGTACGTGCTCCCCAGCAAGGCCGAGAAGATCAGTGGTGTCGATGATGGACTCGGCGATGTCCTTGGCGTTTCCTCTTCCAACGGCGCCGAGAGACTTGAGTGTAGAAAAGTGGATACCGGACTCGGGGAGAATCTCCTGAACGGTCTTGACCCAAGGTGATGATCAGGACCCAACATGAGGAACTGGCATGCGGCTTCGTTAACTGGTCCGCATATTCTTGGTCGAGGAAGTCGAGATAGGGATGCCGGCCGAAAACACCGGCCGACCGACATACGTACGCCGTCAAAGGGGTTGTCGGTGTGCTCCCGAGCCGACCCGGAACGAGGGCGTGATGTTTCTGCTTGCAAGTTGCAAGGGGCAGGTCGTAGGATTGACGCTTTGTCGTCCTATCCACTTGGCTGGAACTCTCTATGCTGCTGCCCAGTCGAAGTTGTCATGAACAATGGGCAGCCGGAAATCTCTTCTTCCAGCTGGCAATATCGCCTAGACTAGCTCAATCGGAGCATAAACTTTGTCAACGGGCGCTGCCGCCCAATGTGTCCTCCACTCAAATCCACATTCACCTTGTCTGCAATATCACTCCTTACCAAGAGGTTGCATTTCGAGGGGCGTGCCAGGGCCTTGGGTCGGGTGGATAAATTTGTCGGTTGAACAATTGAACAGCCCGACCTTCGGACGACGCATCCGTGGCTTATACACATGGCGACCCGAAAGCATATGATACTGGCAAGCCATCCCTGCCAGGCAATAGTATCTCGAACCTGTGTTGAGACCTACAAGGCTACAATAACAAGCCCGAGTATTGCTTCGGACGCCAGATAGAAGTCTATGTCCGAGATGGTAGGTAAGTAAAGGTCGGAGTAACGGGCTTCGTCAATGGTTGGCCACATCAACGATCCAACTCAGTTGATGAGGACTCCGGAGCAGCAGCCCACGGCCCGCACCCAGAAACGATAGCGAATCGGCAGTCGGGTGGTTTAGTGAAACTTCTAGCATATACGACAGGCGCAGGGGAAAAGTGCCGATCCCATTTTGCTGAGCCTTGCAAGTGCCGACTTTGAGTTGATGTTGCAATCATGGCCGGTAGGTGACTCCGAAAGGGTGACTCCGCGAAGTTGGTAGTGCAATGTGCGTGCGGCGTGCCCCTGAACCGACGATGCCGAAGAACCTGTCCCAGCAGAATGGTTATGCCCTTGAATTATCAATTCCAAAGTCATTTCAAGATCCTGGAGAAGCTTAAGACGTGACATCTTGGCTGGGCCCCAAATAGACTAGACAGCAGAAGTCGAAGCCAAGACTTCAGGGTTGACTCTTCAAAGTCTGAAGACTGTCTCCGTCCGAGTTGAGTTGTGTTGTTGGGGCGTATCGGGTCTACTGTAGGCTCTAGCTGCGATTGATAGAGAGAAACTCGAGGACGCTAAGCACTGCCTGCCCGCCAAGGATCAAGAACTTAGTGGCTGCCAAGCGGTAAGGTAGTGCACGGGGCGGCAGGCAATGCGACGGGCGACGAGAGGTCAAGGCGAAAACGACATGTCGTATGCAGTGTGGGCATTTGACGTTGCTAGCTTGCACAGGTTTCCTCGTACTCAGGGCACTTGCGATATGACCATTAGAAGTCTAATCTGCGACAAACAGCTCAACAGCCTGAACTGCCCAGGCAGGTAGATGATGAAAGGACTCAGGAGCCAAGATACAAGGAAGCATACGTGTTCCAATCACTAACGATGTAACTCCGCCTCCTCCGGATTCTCTGCCTCATCAAAACAAAGAAAACTCTCCATCAGGGTTTGGTAGGGTTGGCTGAAAATCTTCGAATGGCAGCTTGTCCCGGAGCCAGTCCCGGATACCGGGGAAGAGGGCTGAGGGAGTCTGAGGGAGTTTGCGAGGGGGCGGGCTAGCCATGGCGATGGATCACGACTGAAATTTGGGCCGAGATTGGGGATGAAGAGAGAAAAGTCAGAGATGTGCAGATCGCAGATATTCTGCCTCAACTCCCATGTACTCTTTGTCAACGTTTACGGCGTCGGCAGGAGACGCAGTGATGTCTGGCTACCGGTGCCTGCCTCACTCACACTGACAGGCTGAGCAATGAGCACGTGTTTGCGTACCTTCCTTTGGACGGAGCAAAGGGAAGGTCACGCCCCGGCGGGGATGCCTTCCTCCCACGTCTCGGAAGGAGGTCATGCCGGTGCCGCCCTCCGGTCCGGCAAGTGGGATGCCCCGTCCTTCCATTGTCGGATGGTGCCTTCCTAGCAAAGGGACACCTTCCGTTACCACCTCCCGCCTTCCTCTATCAACTTCAATAGTCAGGGCAGGATCTGAGGTATCGATTGGCAATAGCTATGATCTCCAGGAAACCCGGCAGGTCCCGGACGTGACTTTCCGAATAAACAACTCCAGTCCGGTCACGGTGGTAGTCCGGCGGGAATGTAATCACGTTGTACCGCGGACGACCATGCCATGGAAGCCGCGGGATCTCGAGTAATCAGATTATCTGCAAAGCCAAGCATTGCTGTGGGCAGAAGTCTCGGCGTTGCTCGAGACGAGATATGAACGTTGGTCTCCGCAGAGAGGACAGAGCGGAGTTCATATTCCATGCATATTAGCACCGAGGGTTTGGCTCGTTCATTTGTGTTCTGTAGGGTTGATCGTGGAAGGTGATATTCAACAGCTCAACAAGATGCATTTGACCGTTACATTCCTCGGTCTCCAGTTATTAATGCAGATAGGTACGGTTTTGCACGAGGCTGCTTCATATGAACTATATGTAGTGAAGTTGCCAACATCCCTGTCAGTTCCTCACATAACAAACCATCGAGATAGTGGCCTAGACCCGCGATCAAACCAGACCTCATTGAGATCCGTGAAGGACGGCAGTCGACACCATGACCCTGAAGATCATAACAGTCCAGCTATTGTGGATCCAGTCGAGTCTAGCTAACCAAGAAGTGGTCCAAAACATTGCCGTTTCGGGATCCCGTTGGGTTGAACGGGATACCGAGTCGGGGTGTAACATCGAATGGCTTCCAAGTCCGACGTGGCCATTAGATCGAGAGAAGTTAACATTTGCCTGCCTTGCCAGTGATTTCTATTCGACGCCCGCTGAGTGAATACCGCCTCGGGTCGAGTCCACGTGATGCCATGTTGCAAATTGTTGCCACTGATCGTATAGTTTCCGACAAGTCCGATTGCTGCCCGAGGGAGCAGATTGGTTTAATCATTCATCAGCATAGTCTCATAGTTTGAGCACCGGAATAGTTTGCCGGATGGTTTGAGAACCGAATAGGCTGAGAGCCGAATAGGCTGAGAGCCGAACAGGCTGAAAACCGAACAGTTTCAGAGCCGAACAGGTCGGAGAACCGAACAACTCCCACAACTGAATAAGCCTGAGGACCGAATGAGCAAGGTACTTGAGAGAGTTCATTCGGTTACGCATTCGTCAAATGATAGAGACAAGTAGTAACCCGTAAAGAAAGACGTGTGCAGTTCAAGAGACCCTCGATAGCATGAGAGCCAATGCATGGTCCTCCGTATTCATTCAGCGTATCAATACAAGAAAACGTTCCAAACGCCAATGCTAGACCATCAAATCAGGGGAGGGCATCACTACAGCTCCTCCTTGAAGAACTGCTCTTCGCTGCCCTCCTGCTGTTGATCCTGCTTGTCCTGCTTCTGACCCTTTTGCTGCGTCTTCTTCCCCCCCTCCACAACCTTCTTCTTCCTCTTGCCCTTGGCCTCCTCGCCGTCCTCGCTGTCAGAGCCGTGGTCAACAATGCCCTGGATTTCTCTCTGCGCGCCCGGCTGCTCCACCACCTCGAGCTTCCAGCCCTTGTCCCCGGCGATGCGCTCCAGCTCAGCCCGCATCTCCTCGACGAGCTCCGGACTCAGATCCAGCTTCTTGAGCTCGTCATCGTCGAGCATCTCCGTCGCACCTCCTTCGGCTTTGCTCTTGGCGCTGGCAATAATCTCGACCAGCGGGCCGTGGCCGCGTCCGGGCAGGTAGCTGCGCGGTGGCGAGAGCTTTGTCGGCGGCTTGCCCTCCTCGTCCGCATCGCCGAGCACGTTTCGCGCACCAACAATGACTCCACCCACGTTGACGCCCTTTTGGGCCTTGTCTCGCACGTTGGGATCTTGCTGGGCCTGCTTCAGGAGTTCTGCCGCCTCTTCCTCGTCTGTCGCGGCGGCACCCTCCTGTTTGCCGACCATGGACTCTTCAGCCTCCAAGGTCTTCCGGCGATGCCATTCGGCCTGAGCGGCGGGATCGTCGGAGGGGAGGATAAGCTGGCAGCTAATTGGGTTCGCGCTCGTGGCCCTCGGCGGGAGGAAGGCGACGTCGTCGCACAAGCGCGGCGTGTTGACGACCATAAGGTAGGCGCATGTGGTGACCTCCTTGATCCAGCCGATGCGGTCCCCCTTCATGCCCGGCACACAGTGGTACTGCACCTCGATCGTCCGGTCGCGGCCCGTCAGGTCGCAGACAGTGCCGCCTTCCATCTTTTGCACGAGATACCGCTGGTCTCCCTTAATCTGCAGATCCGTGTTCGCGGGAGGGTCTCCCGACTTTGTCGTCTGCTGCTGTTGCTGCTCTTGGCCTTGTCGCTGGCTAGGTGACTTCTGTACCCTGCCGAGGACGTACTCGGCCGTGTGGGGGTCGCGGACGGGCGGCTGCCCGTTGGGGACCGTCGGGAGGGCGTGAAACTGGGTAATCTCGCGGTTGTAGCAGAAGCTGTAGCTCCACCAGCCTGACATGAAGTACAAGCAATTGCCGTCCAGCTCGTCCAGCAGCTCCCAGCCGTGCGCCGAGGCCTTTGCCAGCTCGCGTGCCTCCTCCTGCTTCGCGAGCTCCGTCGCCGTGTGATTCTCGGGAGTCTGGGGCTCCAGGATGGGTATTGAGCAGAGGTACTTCAAGTCAGCCGTGTTCATGAGCTCGTATCGCTCAAAGACCTCAGAGGTGCGGCCATTGTCGGCGTCGGTGGCCTCTCGGACGTTCTGGGAGACGTCGGAAGCTGTTGAGAACTCGGCCGAGTAGGCAGAATGCGGATTCGTGCGGTCCAATAACGCCTGCGCTTCGTGTTCTAGTATGTATGATTCCGAAAAGACTATCTCGTACTGCGCGCGCACTCATTGTCAGTTTGCCTACCAGAGCTTCCCTAGAACTCCTTGGGATCGGACGAACCTGGGGATATGCCACGAGGTCATCGTGGATACTAAAGCCAGGATGACGAGCCCGGCACAGCTGAGCCGTGGCCAGCAAAAGTAGATTGAAACGGCGCATCGTGCCGTATGAATGAAGGTTCGCTCACATGCAGAGATAATCGAAGTTGTGGTGGGAAGGCGCCGTTGCTCGTGTGGCCACCTTGAAGCTGCTTAGACAATCGCGCCGCGCATTGGCTGCCCTGGTTCCGTAGCTCACAGGTGTCATCTACATACAGCAGGGTTCCGCCGAGATAGGATCGCCGGTGTTTTGCCGGTGGGGATGCGCCGATAACGAAGACGGTCACGTGCCGCGATGCTATTAGTGGACGTCAAGAACAACCACCTTGAGGACTATGGAATGCCAATTACGGTCGTATCTCTGCAGAATATGTTGCGCAATTGTTTAAATGGAATATCAAGTCATAATCCGTGCTGTAGACAGAGGTTCTCAGTTCATATAGATGTTCGTTTTATACTTCGATTATAATGACAATTGACACGGTTTAACAGCAACTTGCATCATGGTTGAGGTTGTAAGTTGGTTATTCATATCAACCGCCAAAATCCAGATTCAAGGGTACAACAAGAGCCAGCTGGGTACTGACCTGTCTTCAATGAGTTCTTCTCATAGTTTGCTCAGTGATTCCAGCTTTTTTGGGGCCATGCACATGTCCGATTTTGGCCATATGAAGCTAACTTCAGCAGATGTATGATGGAGTTGTTGATGTTTCACTGCGCTGCGAGTGAGTACGAATCACTTGAGAAGAGTCTCAATTGCAGTGAAAAGGCTGTGTTGTCTGTCCTCAACCCCGCCTCTCTTCCTTCGGGGGGCCATCATGATTCGTCGGGCGAGGCTGGCGAACCACGCCGCCTAACAGTGCTATATTCACAGCCACCGTCTTCAGAAACAACAAGCCAGAGGCTACCTGCCCGGAATACAGATGATGTATGGCCTCTTATATCTCGTTGACAGGTCTCGAGTCACATGTAAATTAGTGCTTTGGGTTATCCGGCTATCCTCTCGAATCTCGCGGGAGACTTATCGCTTAGGCGCCTCTATCCAAGTAACGCGAATGACCGGGTATTCTGTCGATCAAGCGCACAAATGTTTGGTGCGTAATGGTTATTTTGCTGCAAAGGCTGTATAGTATTGACCATGGAAGCATCATGCATTTAGATTCAATGATAGCGGATATACTTTCCAAGTCTTTACGTCTAGGCATAGCTAGGTTCGCAGTTACAGGAAGGCCCGTCCCGACTAGGCACGAGGGATATAGGGCGCCAGATTACCTCCAGTGGCGTTAAAATTGCTATGAAGACTCCCATAGCTAAGATTCTGTATCAAAATTCTCCAGTTGGTATCTGGGAATCTCCTTTTCACGGTGAGCGGTAGCACATTCTACGCCCTCAGGCTTCAAAGATGTAACTAAAGGCGGCGACTATCATGGCTTATCACTGAGGCTCAACATCATCCCGCCAAGCTCAAACCCGCACTGTCAAGCACATTGAAGGCATCAGTCCATTGCTGGAAGATACATCGTCGCCGCGGTATCGGCGACATGCCCGCCACTCGCGCGCAGATATACCGTCGCCGGTCTGGAGAGGGACCAACACGCGCAGATCCCGCAGCGTACTTTTCTTGCCCGCACGCTGCCGCCACATCTAAAACTAAAACCTCTAGGAAAGCCCGTCTATTGGCTGTCCATGGTAGAAGAATGCTGACCGCAGCACGCAGAACCGACAGCATCGTCCGTGCCGCGCGTGATCGGAGGAGGCCAAACATCGCGGCAGGCTACTAGGCAGCACTCCTCCTGCAGGCTCGACTTACATGACACCAGTCAGCCGCGACCGACCGGGGTGGGAAAGAGAAAGCGAAACAGATGAACAACAAAAGGAATCCGACAAAGCTCCTATCAGACGTCGGCGCTGCGCCGCGGTGCGGTAAAGTACCACGCAGCAAAGATATTGTGTGTGTGTGGTATCCGTATCGTCTGCGTCTGTGAAAGAGTAGGTGGCATGCCGATACGCTACGCCATGCGGATGCGGGTGGTAGTGGTATCACTGCGATGCGATGCGATACGATGCGGCTCGGGGCCGAGTAGAGCACGGATGCCCATTCGGCGATCCGAAAGGGACGCTGTATGGTACAGACTTTCCAGAAATTCATAGTTGACAGTTCGCTCTCGGACGCAGCCTCTTGAGGGAAGAAGGCATGAATCTGCTCCCTGGGCAGTTAAAGCCAAGGCGCGTCTTCATGCCGTCCCGGATTGGATGACGGCAGACGATTGTAAGGAAAGAAGGAGTCCTAGCGGCGGCAGGCTATTCAAGTTTTCTAGGGACTACTCCGTATGCCTTGTGTATATGTCTCCTCCCGTGTGAATGGTTGGATGGGTGGATGGTTTGGCAAGGTAGGATATTGATGGTGTTACCCCTCTCTTAGTTTCTCTCGAATCTCACCGAAATGGGCCGTGTCATGCCAGAAGCCGTTCAAAAAACACGATAATTCAGCCCACTCGGCAGTGGGTACTGATTTGAGATATCAAGTTGAAAGACAGGCCATGCGAGTGCCATGCCATGCCGACGTTTGCTTGGGCTTTTGGTGTCATGTCATTTTCTTTTCTTCCTCTTGTGTCTGGCACAGCCGCCGCACAGAAGAAACGACTGATGAGCTTCGTTGCTTGGCGAAAGGGAACTTTGAAAACTTGAGATGGAACTTTGGCAAACAGATTTGGATCTGAGTCTTGGAACTTTGGAAGGCATGCCGTGCCAAGAGTGGCAGAAGTTGGCGCCATTCCACTACGAGGATTGAGTTCTGCTGGTGTTGCACCCAAAGGGCCGATGGCTATCCGTCCAATTGATATTCATAGAGTTCTCTTTGCTTTCTTTCCAAAGGGAGTCAAGGTGAAATGGCTAATAAGATTGATGATTTTGATGATCCTTGGCGGTAAGCGCAGTTTCGGCGATAATGAAGTGTCACCGCCCATACGGAGTACTCCCGTACTCAATAGGTCGTAGCGTGGTATTCATGAGACAGTCTAGAAGCGACGGCGAAAGCGAGATGGGAAACATTGGCATCGTGGGGGAAAATGAGATACAAGGAAATAACCCACTTGTGCATTGTCGTATCGTGTCAGTATTCGTACCCAATCCGTTGCAAACTGCGGTCAGTCCTTTGCTCTGTGATTGTCATAAACGGGCATCTCGCTGGCTTGCCCTGAGTCGCGCGCAGTTGTGCAGGGTTCAGCGGGCGCCGCTTGTATCCGTAGGGACTGGCGAGATACAGAACAGAGTTCGGTGAGGGTTCGACAAACGGAGTGCAGATCTGCAATACACTAGAGCCTCTGGCAACTTGTTCTGGGCAGCTCCAGTCTCCAGCGTTCAGAAGCTGCCATCCAACTGGGAAAGGTGAGAAGATGGAAACAATACACCAAACCTTGGGATTGGGATGGTGAGGGGACGGTAGGGGGGGAATTGGGGAGAACGACCCGGACCTGCCGGGGACACCCCCCACCCGTAATGCCAGAAGCCGTCTGATGACGGGAGATTGTCACAGAGATGCTTGGGCCACCGGTCCATCTACAAGGAGGGTCGCGGTTGATGACACCTCATCTCTCTGTCTCCCAGACTCTCCCGGCGGTAAGAGAGACTTTGCGGGTTTCTGCCAACTAATGGCTTCTGGCTGGGGGCTTCCTTGGGGGGTTATGGTGCATGCTGTGGGCGGGCTGATGGTTTGGGGCCCCTGGAGGGAAAAGGGACCCAATTCAGCTCGAGCAGCTGGAAGTAGCCGAAGAGGATCAACAGCGATGATCCCTCGAGGCGGAGCTGTTGCGAGATGTGGTGCGGGACGATCCCAAGCTTCTTTTGGAGGTGGGATTTGGTATGGAGACTTGAAATGTTTGGCTTGGCTGGTCAGTTCCTTCGTGATGTTCCCAGATATTGGAAATTCCAGATTCCATGGGCCATGAGAATGGAGACGTGGAAAGGGACCCGCTGCGGTTCGCGCGTGCGGCGTTACGTTTTGACAAATTGGCATCTGAATCTATGCAATGCCGATGGATCATGGTAGCCAAGATTAGGTGACTGTGTAGACGGAGTTGCGAGATGAAGGAGATGACGCTAGGTGAGGGCGATGCCGTGATGATGGAGACTGGAGAGAGAACTGGCACTTGCACGTTCCATGGCCCCAGGAACGGGTCGGTCACGAGCGAGAGAGTTCATTCGAGTGGAGGGGAAGGTCTGGCACACCTGGGCAGATGAGACGAGACGAGACTCAGACTGGCCGTGTAGGGAGTGGCCATGCCGCCATGCTCCATGGATGGTGATGGACTTGCACAGTTGGTGGAGGGGGAAGACGAGGATTCAGGAAGAGGAGGACGGGAGGAGGAGGAAAAGGACAGGTACGTACCGGGTCTCTTTTTTCCCCCGAAGGCAAAGAGCCAATCGTCGGAGCCGGCGGGGCGCCAGCCTCACTTTGCGGGAACAAGCCGTAGCCAATCGAGCTTCGCCCTGTGACGCTAGTCTTCTTTTGGAGCTACGTGGACGAGCTGTGATTCGTCAAAGCTGGAGACGGCCAAAAGTGGGGATCGAAGCTGGGGATCTGTGACTTTGGGGAACTTCCAAGTTGTAGAAAATGAGACACAGGGACTCAGAAGAGAGCCACAGCTGCAGTGTGCATCGTGGAGTCGTGGACCACTTCATCTCGCTCACTGGGCAGAATGCTGTCTATACGGATACAGAGCAGCTCTTCAGTGGATGCCAGTACCTAATCCTTCACTAGCGTCTGGTTTGCCAGCGGATGATGGAAAGAAATCGGCGCTGATGGCGGTCTAGTGTGGGGGGTTCTCCAACGCTGTCCAGTGATGACTGGAGGGAACTACGTACCGGTGGTACCGCAAGGTCGAGAGAGAGAGAGGTACGTACTCCTCGAAAACGAGGCAAACGCTGTCGATTGGACCAACATCGCCAATGCATCACATTGGATGCCACCAAAATACCACTCGATGCCACTGGGGATGGGGATGGGGATGAGATGCGTCCAGTGACCGTCATCCGTATCGTCAACCACAGCACAAGAGACAG